GTTTTCTGCTAAAATTGCTAAAGTTTGAGGCACTTTTTCAATATCTTCTGTTGTGTTTAACACACTTTTTGAATTTTGTATGATTAGACCAATATATGCTTAGGATCCCTATAAAATTTTATGGCTGTCAAGCCTGCAAAAAGAGAGATATGAATGCTTGAACATTGCTTGGTAGAAAAGTGAGTTTGGGGGGTGGGGTCATAAAAATGGGCATGGCTCGTTAGTTTGTGGGTTAAACTGAAATTTAGTAACATATTCTCAATGGCAAATGGCTGGTTTAAATAGGTAAATTTTCAATTAATTTTAAAAAGTCATCAGTTTTGACATATTTGCTTATGAAGTGGCTTTATTGACCGAAGCTGAAAATCAAGCCAAAAATGGCCAAAACATAAAATATCATATTATAATTATATCCAATGATTTCTTTTGGGATTGTTGCCTTCAATCTTAATATCTCCTATATATGCAACAATATTATGAATTTGGTTGAAATCTGTTGACCCCCACCTTGCCACCCTCTGACTGGTCCTATCATGGACACACACTTAATGAATTCTACGCTTTGCTTTGGTCCAGATGTAATGCTTATAGGGTAATTTCATTCTCTAATTGGCTTGCCAATTCTAAATGTACATAACTTTTAGTTTCATCTGCCCTGTTTGTGTTCCCTTATTGTTAACTCCCAAAAAAGAGAACTTACCCTAATGGGCACTTCACCTTAACGAATTCAACCAACCCTAAAAGATCCCCTTGCTTCTAGTCTTCACTTCGACGGAGAGCAGAATGAGGCAACTGAATGTTGATAGTGCAATTATATGTTCTATTTAGTGGCACAATTGAGTGGTGATACAATCATCCAAAGATGCTGGTATCCTTAGTAAAAACAAACTGTGACTTAATTTATCAGGATGCATTTTAACAAACCATAACAGACATGTACATTTCGGAAAATTTAGACCCGTCTGTTCTGAAAAGATCTGATGTATTTTTGTACTTTTGTATTACAGTGGTCGCAAAACATCAGTAAGTTGTAAAGTTTTTTTCAGCAGCTTTTCTGCCCCAAGAGTGTCTTAGTTGCTCTTTTAACGGTGGATATGCACTATTACTATTCTGAGCGATAAATGACTATCAAAATTAATGATGTGACGTTCTTGTTCCTAGATAAGATCGGCGGTTTTGTAAACCAAGTGTCTATTTTTCACATTATATAAGATTGTTTTTGCCTATAAAATGATGCCTTTTGTTCGGAAAGCATTGATGTATTATTTGCATTATCTGTAATATAGTGGTTGTAAAACCAATTCAAAGCGTTTTTGCGCAATTAAGTATTTTGGTTTTATTCTCTCTTTTCTGCACCAAGAGTGTCTTAGTTGCATTTTGTCTTTTGTGTACTGTGACTATTCCAAACAATTCACCAACATTAAAGAAGTAATGCACCACCTGTGTAAAGACTGCACTATTTGGCTTGGAGGACCGATCGTAAAAAGTGATTCGCGGTTTATTGCTCTCGTAACCAGTGATCATCCATTATTAACGATATAAAGTTTGTCATTAAAGGTGTAATATACGTCTGGCTGTCACATTCCTACCATGGCGAACGTACAGGAGCCGGCAGTGAAGGAAGAAAAGAAATTGCTACTCTGATGGAGGAGGGTATACAGTGTTCATTTCTCCCAGATAGCCCCTAGATATGGTGTGTCTGGCCAGATTATTTATAGAGTTTGCAAAAGGAAGGACACTGTTGATGCCCATATGTCCATTTTCAAAAGAAATGTGCTGTAACTGCATGTAATCCTGGGCAATAAACAATTATCAAAAATAGCTGATCATCTTTGCTGTCTGAAATCAAAATGTGTTGTTTTAAAAACAAAGCCGCCTTTTTGATTACGAAAGACAGACTTCAAAAATAAGATGCTGTGTCCGTGTCTTTCGTTCTGGGGAGTTTTGATGTCTTTTTTTTGCATTATTTTCATTAAAGTGGTCGCAGAAAAAAATATATTCACCTAGTTTAAGGGTTTTTGGCAGCTAGGTTTGTATGTTTGGCAATATTGGTTGTTTTTAGCTATAAAATGATGCCTTTTGTTCGGAGAGCTTTGATGCAATATTTGTAACTATCTGAAGTATAGTGGTCGTAAAAACCCAATAAATAAGTTTTTGCGCAATTAAGTATTTTTTTTATTTATTCTCCATTTCCTGCACCATCAGTGTGTTAGTTGCCTTTTCTGTCGCGAATACGTACTATATGTTTGTGTCGAAGTTGCTTTTATGATTATCCATCGTGCATATTTACTGTGACCATTTTAAAAATACACCATTATTAAAAAAACATTTTACATCTTACGTCTTACATAAAACTTATATTGCGTTCATTACTCTCATGTACCGATACAGAATGGATTCCGATGGTCAGATTATAATGACTATAGTCTCTAGATATAAGCAATACAATGGATCACAAGCATCACTAGTATCAATGCCACATTAGAAAGTTATTCGGATTACTAGCCTGTGTGTTAAATGGTGATGATGATAATAATAACAGTGATGTTTATTGCTTCTAGCACATTTTTACAATTGTTTTGAAATAAAAATGTCACTATGCAATAATGGAATGTGATCACATTTATATAATGAATCTACATTAGCAACATTGTACAACTAGCATTTTCGATCGAAAACGAGGGGTTAGTACTTGCCCTTAAAAAGCACTTCCACTTGACGAATACATCCAACCGTCAAAGATCCCCTCGCTTCCAGTCTTAACTATGACAGACAGCAGAATGATGCAACTGAATGATAATCCAATTATATCGTGTCGTTTCTACTGAAGCACCAAAACTTGAGTGGTAATACAGTTAATCAAAATACTGGTAACCGTGGTTGCTCATTATGTTTTTGTAAAGAAAAAACTATGTTTTTATTTATTTTAGGTTGCTTTTTATTTCAAACAACGAAAACCGTGCACAGTTAGGATATATTTGTTCTAGATAGCTTTAATGACTTTTAATTATCTTAGAGGTTGGAAAGCACCATTTACTAAATGTCATAGCGCACAGTCAAATAAAACTTCGATCATCATGATTTGGCATGTTGGCACCCATTTTCAGATAATTATCTGCATCTCACCGCCATTAAGGCGCCTTTACACTGTGTCCTTTGTGCGTCCATCACTGTGGTCGTAGATAGGAGGCACCAGCATTGATTTGGTTGCAAAATGAATGCTCAATGATCGGTCAGTTACCGGCACGTTAAGTGTAATCTTTTTACTCTCAAACAGGGGCAATATCACAGGACGCCGTCCAGTGAAAGGGGGGGGGGGGCTTTAACAAAATAACTGAACCCTCTGGCAAACTGAATCACATTTTAATTGAGCAATCAAATCATCTTTTAAGTACAAATAATAGATACAATAGATTCCGATGATCTTTTATTCCATATGCACTTTTAAATTTCCAATACTATAATGTTGTCTTTTATCCTCAGTAAAGTAATGCTAAAGTTCAAGTAGCAGTATTTTAACTCAGTTTCACTCAAAAATATAACATTTTATTATCATTATAATGTTTTTAACATTCTATGTACAACTTCAGCCCACTGGGTTGCAATCTTAATATATTATTATTATTCATCGTGTCAGCACACTTGCTTTAACAGTTCTCGTTTGGCAAGTGATTTGCTGAAGAACCTTAGTGTTCTGAGGATGGGGCAACCAGCTTTGTGCCCCGATGTTAACTCTACTGAGCACCTGTGACATGAATTGGAGTGTTCAATGCAGAGTCGAGGAACACCAATCTCTTAATGAACTGGACCAACTCCGCCAAGCTCTTCAGAAGAACAATATCCCACAAAACAGAATTGTTGCCCTTGCCCTTGTTTAAAACAAGGCACTCTGCTATCAGTACATAATTGCAGCACGCGGTAAACACACACGGTACCTGACCTTTATGTTAACATCCTAGCTTATGCGCACTATATTTATTATTGTATTATGTATTATATATGTATACATGTATATTCGGCATTGTCACGAAAATAAATCAATTTAACTAACTAACTACATAACCCCTCGGGAACCCGAGCTGAATGCAGTCAGATTAACAGGTTACATAACGAGCTGGAGATGCGTAAAATATAAGAAAAGCTGGTGAATATGTTGGAAACAAGATAAGGGACCCAAATTTGAAGGAAATCAGATTTTTGGCAACATAATTAAATAGAATCAAACGTTTTATTGAATTGCATTAAGTGAATATTTCTCATTTGCCTGCATAAAAATGTTGTAGGAGAAACATATCTTAATGCTAATTGTGTGTAAATTTGGTGATATTTAGTGGTGTCTTTTCAATTTAATGGACATTTCTTTACCTCTGTAGAAATCACAGTGAAACATGGCATTTGAAGGGTTACATGTTATAAATGTGAATTAATGATATAAAATATGGGTATCTTCGACGCTATTTCGTATGTTTGTACCACTTATCATGCTGGATATTGCATCTGGAATAAAAGGCACCGTTTATTACAATTTACACCTGTGAGTTGATCATTTGTAAATAAAAGCACATGGCATTGGAGGTGGGACAACCTTTTCCACCAGTGTGTGTGTGTGTGTATGTGTGTGTGTGTGTGTGTTTATCTTTTGCATTACATCATGGGGCCACAGAGGAAAAATGGGCCACACAGAATCTTAAAATATCCAGTGAAAAATCAATCTGTAGCCCTGGTTGAGCAAAGTGAGCAAAGTGCGCATGGGGTGATCTGTATCTGTATCTGTATCTGTTCATGTACGTCTAGAGACACCAATACTGGTATGAAGTGATATCAAAGAATGGACTTTCCCCGCGTTAACTGCCTAATTGCGGTCACCGTCCAATCATTTTCATTTGCGTGAATGGTTTGTGGTTGCGTGTGTATTGACAGGGACATGGGTCAGTGGTTTTCTGTGAGTAGTTGGCTGGTTTCCTGCCCATCTTTCGCACGTGGCAGTCACTCCGTCTCATTCATTGTATCGGTCCCTGCAATCCTTTTGTTTTGATATCAGCCCCGTGGTATGTATTCAAAGTTAGGGGGGTTGGGTGGAGAACACGCACGATTTCCCTTTGTATGTATAACAAATAAAGCACTGTTACCCCCTCGCCCGATATACACGATAGCATCGTGATATCGGGCTCGTGGACAGTGCATTATTTACTACATATTCCTTCGTGATACTGTGTGTGGTTACCAGCGTGTGATGGAATGTTAAACACCGCTACCAGCAGGTTAACCTTTCCTAATTATAGGGTCACTGTGGTACTTAAATTTCCTTCCCATCAGCGTGACAGTTGATAAACAACATGGCTCAATTGAAGACGTTTGTAGCATGGGCTGTATTTATACTTACTCCTTTTGATCACCCGGGCTATTCCAAAGGTAAGTATTTTTTAAATTCAGTCTGCTGTAATTTGTAATTGAAGACATGTGGAAATATTTTATCATCTTTGATGTGCGACAAACAATGAGATAGTACGCGTATTGTTGTAGTTAAATATTCTAGTTTTAAACCTTTTTCCCTAAATTATAAAGATTATATTACCTTTCATTGAAAAGTATATGAAGTGATATGTGCAGACCCAAAACCTAAAGTTGACCACTGCTTAAAAGGGACATCGACAAGTGAAGAGGAATGTTCCCAAATCCATACTGGTGACACCACACTAACACCACTTAAAGGTAAACGGGAAGAAAATAATGTGGCGTTTGATTTCGAAAATGTATATTTCTTTATTCTATTGATTGTTACCGTCACTGCTGCAGAATCCATCCATCATATATATATTTTATCCCTGTTCATAATTATATTATATTATATTATATTATATTATATTATATTATATTATAAATTATTTTGTATACTTACTTGTTAAAGTGCAATTTGAAAAGTCTTAAATATTATTATACCCTCATTGCTCAAAAGAATTTATTCCGAAATTAAAAAAAGGTTGCAGTCATAGGGCACTATTATTTATTCTACTCAATATAAAACCATTTCAGGGAAGGTACAGGAGCCTTTACTGCCTGCGCTGATACCCAGCCTGTTCTCTAATGTTCCACCTGTCATTAACTTTGTGCTGCCTGGACAACAAAGTAAGTTCTAATTCACCGCTACATTTTATGTGCCATGCTATATGCATTTTCACCCATTACACTTAATTTCATTAAGTTCTCCATTTATTATGGTGCAACCTGTATTTGTTAGGGGTCGTTTACAATGAATTCTGTCATCCTAGCTAATGCTAAGATTATAACTCCTAGGGGATCTTCGTTTAATGCAGATTAACAAGCTTAAGTGTCTTCTGGAGTAAAATATTAAAGAAAACGCTGGTAAGTATATTGGAAACAGGATAAGCGACTCAAATTTGAAGAAAATCAATTTATTCGCAACATAATTAAATAGAATCAAATGCTTCATTAATTTGCACTAATTGAATGTTTATCACTTGCCTGCATTAATTGCTGTAGGAGAGGCGTTTCCAGATAGCATCAAGAGTCGTTTGTTTTGGTACAAGTCCGGCTCTCCTCTCATATCTTCCATAGCGTTCGCGTCTGGATACACCCTCACTGATGGTATGTATATTAACATGATTCTAACATGTTTAAAAAAGAAAAAATTCTTCCCGTGCTGGGATTCATTTAAAAGGTAGATAAATAACTATTTATTTCAATGTTGAAATCAAATAGAAAATTAACCCTTTTATTTAAAAAAGGTAATTAGAGAAAGTATTACAGGTGGCCCTTCGTGTTCATCTATTTATTAAAGTGCGTCTAATTAAACCAGTGACATCTTTGCATTTGCAAACTGCTTTATAATTTTCACTTAGTAAAACACCAGTGCATTTCCAGATGATAACATGTGGGTGGGGCGCTACACCGGGTGTTTCCCACCAAGTGAAACACACATGTTCAAAACCATTACACCAAATAAAAAGGTAATACGAACGGGTTAATTCCACAGAATTCAAAAGTTAATTCTATCGATAGGTCAGATACATTTGTATATGTAAATAGGTCATACAATTATATTCTTATGCAACCGTTTCATAGTGTTAACGGATTTCTAACATCAATGATGTTTAAAACACGTTGATGTACATGATATAAAAGATATTTAATGTTCATACCTTTACCAATATGTGATAGATACAATACGAGTCGCCGAGCTGTACGTGAAATATTACAAGTGTATTGGCGAGCCGCAGGCGAGACAATACACGAGTATTTTTCACGTACAGCTCGGCGACGAGTGTTGTATCTGGCTTAAACCACGGCCTCTGATTGGCTACTACTAGTGCAACAGACCTTGGAACGCACTCGTACATGACGTGCTTGTATGTCGCATACAGCACGGTCGAGTCTTTTGTTCTACGCGTTAGCCGTGGTTTAAAAATGAGAACATCCCCACCAGTTGTTAAACACGGACAGGACAATACAGTCCTTTAAATGTACACTAATGCACTAATGCACTGTAAAACACTATAAAACCTCAGGGCCCCGTATCTCGAAAGCATCGGGCATTGCGACCGTGCGCAAGCGTCTCGATTCCATAACTCGCCCATACCCGCCCCATATAATACATTGTAGTCTCTATTTGATATAGCGATTCGCAATACACGATGCTTTCGAGATTCGGGGCCCAGTTCTTTTTTGTGTGGTGAGAGAAGGGTAATTAGATTACGGTCTTATCAATATTAATGATGATTTATCCTTCTGTGATGATTTACTACAAAATCGTGATATATTAGTAGTTGAACGAAATGCAATGGCAAAAATCTACAAAATGTATTAACCTAAGAGACAGTTCGATTACAAATAAGAGGTATTAATTTTTCCTTCTTTGAGTATAACCATCTACCAAACAACTGGTCTATCGGCTGTAAGGATAGACTAGCACATAAGATGCGAAAAATGAAGATGGCTCACGGTAAACAATTTAATTTTCACCCACCTACCTATCTGACACCTGACGAGATGGAAGCAGTTAAGAAGGCTTGGGAGAGCGGACCAGAGAACCAGCTGTGGATTTTAAAACCGGTAATATTGTTAAATGAAAATCATTTTTTAAAGTATTCTTTAGTTTGGGTTAAGAAGTAGTAGATAAGTACAACCTAGCTCGTATGTGGCGGCAAAACTTTTCAGGTGTAGGTCGAACTAAGGAGGTCTGAAGTTCTACCGGGTCAGTCTTTATTGCTTTTTAAATCTTTGAAATTAACTTGTAAATTACGAGGTATATTTTGAGTGCAGACACGTGTTCATTGTTTTTCACAAGGGATCGTTTTTATTCACCAGTATTGTTTTTACGGAGGCAAAGGCATTGAAGTGATTCATGAGTTTGGACAGATTCCTTTACAACATAGACGCGTCGCGCAAAGGTATGTCTTACTCCTTTAATATCGTCACCACTTTTTAATGGAATAAATTGGCCCTACATTTCTGATTTCATCATACCTCCTCTGACGAGGTAAAGCTTTTTTTCTTTGTTTGTTTACAAATTATTTTAAGTTGAAAACTTATGGACGAGCTTGTAATATATATATGCTGAGGCTCGTACTCGTGCATTTCCAGATACATTCCAAACCCCTTCCTCATAAATGGATATAAGTTTGACTTGCGGGTTTTAGTCCTCGTCACAAGCGTCGACCCACTGAGAGTGTATGTGTACCGCGATGGCCTTGTCAGATTTGCTACAAAGAAGTACGTATTCGTTTATAAACGATTAAGTTCTTTGATTTTCCATGTAAGGCAATCGTGACAGTTTTGATGTCGTAAGTATACAATGATTAATGTCTTGTACTGATCGTGCAGTCTTCAAATATGTTATGTCTTTAATTTTTTTTTCTTCAAATTGTGTGATCATGAAAGGAACTTTTATTGGGCATCTGTATTTTTTATTTCTTTTCGGGGAAGCCAGATATGAGCAGAGTGTGCATGAAATAATGTTTATATTGTCTTATATCTGTTTTTCAAAACAAGTCAAGAACACAAAACCGGGATGATTTCTGACAAAGACAGACACTGTATTGCCTCGTAAATCTACTTCTTCATCTTGTACGGTTGCAATCCAATGTAGTTTATTTTTATATAAATATTTTAATTTTAGGTTTACAACACGCGCCTTCGATGAAACTATCCATCTCACTAACGTTGAAGTGAATGAGAAAAACCCTGACTACAAACTACGTTACTCTATGCAAACTGGACACAAATGGTAAGTGTGCTATACTGTACATAGAATTCCCACACGTTACTATTCGCAAGTAATTGTTCCTGGTGTTAAATGCAACTAAAGGCAAACATCTATCCTCCCCTAACGAAAAAAGTGTCACCTGCATTTATGTAGATCGTTAAAAGGTTACCCACACATTTAATTTTACTATGCACAACAACCAGACAACCAAGCATCTCGTAAATTCCCAACATTGGCCCAGCTACCGGTACCATTGACATACTGTAATACTAATTATATATTAATATAAGTGAGAAGGATACATTTTTTCCGTGCGGCTGATATAGGCTAGAGTTGTCAAATTAAGAGCATTAATTATATATTTCGCGTCATCCAATTTTTAAAACGTCGGTGTATCTGGAACAACTGTTGCATTCATAGTGCTGAAAGAGTTTAAATGCTATTTTTATTGTTGTCAGGTCATTTAATAAGCTATGGGAGCATTTGAAAACTAAAGATGGAACCGACCACGAGCCGATTTGGGAGAAGATCAAAGACATCGCATTAAAGACGATAATCAGGTTACTTTATTTTAAATTTACATTTCTCTTTCTGAGGGTTGATGCACATGTGTATCGCCGGTATATATATAACTTTGTACTTTACAACTTTAAGTTCATTAAGTTCACCACACCCCATATATAAATCCAAAGGAATTGTTGTCATTATAAAGAGACAATGCAAGGAAAAGCAGATGTTTTTGAGTCCAAAGTGTACAATGACGGTTATTCTCATACTTTTAAACAGCGGGGAACCAGATATGTTCGAGGGAGTACAGACGTACCTGCTGAGCAAATACAGTGGACATGAACTGTTCGGCTTTGATATACTGCTGGACAAGAACCTAAAGCCCTGGGTCCTGGAAGTTAACGTAGCACCTGGGTAAGTGTTTGGTATACTGCTGGACAGAACATGAAATCTTGGGTCTTGAAGGTCAACATAGCGCCTGGGTAAGATACTACATGTATAAATAATGTAAAAACCAAGCTGCACTCCTGTATAAACCTAGCTGGAGGGCCACATTACCAGCAATAAAATGACGTTTATAAGTTTTAGCGCTTTCTTGAAGTGATATTTTTACAAAGTACAAAGATTCAATCACGTATATCTGCTATAAACGTGTCTTACTGTGTCCTGTTCATTTACCTATGGAGAAAAAAACATATTACTTGTCTAACATTCTCAGTACTTCTCGAGAGATCGGTAAAATATCTGCAGCTAGGTCATGTACACTTTGCAGAAAAAAATCCTGAAACGCGTGAAAGTTTGCTTTTAAAACATCTTAATAAGTCGTGAAATAAAGTGATATATTTGTTTCCAGTATCCAGGGACACTCTGGTAATCCTCACCCCGCCTTTGATCCTATGTGCAGAGATATGCTGAACTTAGCTGGCTACAGAATACCTGGGGAAGAAGATCATGATAATGATGGAGAAAGGTACAGCAATAATACCAGATTCCATGGTCGTGGTTTGCTTTTTTGACTGCCTAAACTTGCTTGAATAAAAGGCAAGTGTTATGCAATAAGAGACACAAGAGACGTTTATGGTCATATTCTTATCTTTAATTGTTATCAACCTGCCAAATACTGAGCTTCGCTGTTATATGAAAAAACTTTAACTGCTGTTCGTAACTTTGAGTCTTTTACATGTAACACTTAACCACCATGGCCAGTTACACTAGGCTTAATTGTCACTGCTCGGAGCACAACACTTTGGCAAACCCAATGTTGGGGCTTAAACAATATTTGATAATGATTTGGTTTCAGCGGGCCCAGTGTTTCGCCTGACTTGCTGCTAGACGAGCGTTGGTGGACAAAGAATCTGTCCAACGCGGAACAAGCTAAACATAAGTATTACAGTGAGCACTATGAGTACAAGGTGAGCAAAGTGGTCCGCAGACTCTTAAAAAAATACCGAAAGTTAAAGGTCAGGGATAATATTAGGGCCAGTATATGAGGCGTTCACGGTAATTGATTTTGGCCTTTTGCAAATATGCCTGGTCTTGTTTCGCTCCTTCCATATGCGTAAAAACATACCATGATCAGTGTCATGCCACTGAGGAAGCACGCAGCAGTGGGGTCCACCCTCCATCAAATTCATTTACCTTAGAATAAGCTTAAGGGCCAAACATCTTTGACTGAACGTATTTAAACATACACATCAGCGAGAAAAGGAGGGGCGTGTAAATGACAAAAATTGATCATATATGTCAGTTTATTTATATATATAAATAACCGCCACCTTATCTTTCTGTTATTCAATTTTCTTTTGGGGGTATATATATTTATATTTTAAAGAAAGTCTTGTCAACTATACTGGACACGCTAACACCGGATGATATCCGAGTTCTGGTTGACACAATAGATGAGAACAAAAGGCGGGGAGGCTTCGACAGGATTTTCCCAAGATTAGACACAGAATATGACCAATACTTTGAGAAGCCCAGGTAATGCACTGAATAATGAACAACTGTAACAATCTATGCGTACCTATTTATTGTCCTCCGACAATTCTTGTTCTTTTAAAATAAATTTAAAGAAATGAAAACAAAATTAATTTCACTTTTGAAAATGGTATGGTGAATTTCATAAATAAAACGGAAGAGCCATTGCCAGTTTTGGGCAAGATATCTCGATAAAGCTATATAACGACACCAGTTGGGGGTACGCTTCATGTATAATAAAAAAGATGAAAGCGTCTTCATAGTATTGCATTTGATGGTGGTTATTTATAATTCGACGATAATCATTTATTAGCGCTTTGATTTAATTCAATTTATTTTGTTGGGCCCGGAATGTATGTTTGTGTGACTTTTACCGCCCACTGCTCAAATTTGTTTTCAGATATCACAACCTTCTTGTTCATGAATGGATAAAACGATACCATGGTAACGAAGAAGAAGGTATAGCTCTACTGGAATCTTACTGTAAAGAGTCCAAACATCTTTCTGGCTATTAAAACGAAGTAACTCCAGGAGCTACATTTGACTTTTTACAAAGGATGACAATATCTCCGAGATTAAAGAGCATGACATTGTGAAAGATCAGACAACGGGCACATATAACGGTGTGAATTAAAAGATTGGTTTGTCCACATAAAATTTAAGCCTCGTTTCTTTTTATAAGCCTTTGTGATAACTGTATGTATATGTATACAACTATACAACTGCATGTATTGTATAATTGTTTTTTTTTCTTTTTTTGGGGGGGGGGTGGGTGGGTTGTAACAGTAATATAAAACGTCAATGTTTCCCTTTTCGTGGCGATTCTTTAAGTTTTCATTTTAGTTTTCATGTTTATCTCGAGAAAATTAAGTGAGAATTAAATAACGAAAATCGCACCTGCAGACAGATACGCTACATATTAATCAAACTGTGAACACGGTCTCCTACATATTATTTTGACGGCTACTCATGCATAACCCACTGGTAGTTGGATATCTAACTTTTGACTCTATACTTGAGTTTACATATTCAGTGCGCCTGTCCTGTAAAACAGGCCTTTACGTTGCACTTAAATCTACAATGTACTTATGTGTCATTATGATGTACTTATATATATCGCACTCATGTGTACGGCGTACTTTTATGTCATTTCGTGCATTGACTGCTGATTTCATATAAGGAAGCGGAAGCGAGACCGCGCAAACAATCTAACAATAAACATACTCGTACAATGAATAACCTCACAATTCTAGAGTGTCAACTTCTTATGAACAGCTATAGTTATATAGTCAAAACAAGGGCAATGCGTATATTTTTAGACCTGCTTTCTCACAAGGCATCCAGCTGTGAACGCTCGAACATGAACATAGGTGAAGAGCGCTTGACATAATACATGTAGTCCTATAAACATTGAAACTCTATACCGTCACCACGCATATTAAAAACCATTGTGAAGATACGAAACAGGAAGTTGTTGCGTTTTGAGTCATTCGATTCGTTTGATTTTAGACAGTCTGCACAGGGGAATAGAGGAAAGACATGGCTTCAGGCATGCTCGATGGTATATTGCAGTATAAATACAAATTCGTCGGTCGTGAGTCTGAGCTTCATAAAGTTCTAAATGAATGGGAATCGCGACGAATAATTGGTGTCTACGGTCCACCTGCCATCGGCAAGACCGAGTTTGCTGAGAGAGTCGTACAAGAAGTCGGTAGGGTCCGACCGCTTGAGGTGGCGAAGGTGAACCTCAAAAGTGTGCGGTCTGTTCGCCATATTATCGAACGATTCAGTCAAGCCACTGCATTTCTTCAACCATTCCCTTCTGAAGACTCTAACGATGAGGCGTCACTGTTTAAATGGAAGTATGACTTAGCCGCGCATATAGGAAATAGACTAAAGGAGTGTCAGAGGTATGTTTTGGAAATAGATAACTGCGATCACGTCGTCGTCGCAGATGAAAAGAACTTTAACGAATCCAAATCTCAGAAGGGCTTAACAGCCGATCAAAAAGGGATTGCGGACGCGGAACCTTCCTTTTTGTGGCACGATAGACCCCTCCAAACAGTATTACTTGACCTAATATCATGCTTGGTCAAATACTGTAAAAACGTGTGGATATTGGTGGTGTCAAGAACCGATTTCCGATTTGCGTCTTTAAGCAAACTCTACATCTGCGTCCAGCTGCCTCGGTTGTCCACTGGAGAAGGAGGGTCACTGCTGCACGAGGTATGCCCATCGGTCAAGTTCAGAAATGACCAACTTGAGGAAATAGTGGAGAGATGTGAAGGGGTGCCTCTGCACATTATAGCCGTAGGTAGGTGTTTAATGCACATTGGGCAAATGAGGGTGAATTATTTGTATAGAAAAGAAATGATTGATTTTCAAGAGTTTATATTCTCTGCCTACTAATAATCTACATAAGTTGTAATAAATCAGCGTTCCATTTAAAGCGAAGGTGCTCTTAATGGCGTAATAAAACATTCGGTTTCTTAAAGAAAGGCCGACAGAAATTGAAAATCTGATCTAGATGTAGAAAACGCGACAGGAAACGATAGGATGGAGCACAAAGGGAACCATATACTAAAACAATTGAAATACCTTTTGATGGCAAAACTGAGCGCATGTTATTCGGCCCCTATCATTAAATATTCAAAAAATAATAATAAGTAAAATAAATAAATAAACAATACTTGATGTGAGACGGGCATGGCTTTTAAATGAAAAAAAATAATCAGTATTCAATATTTATAACAGTAAGATACTAGTAGGCAGAGAATATAAAAGCGGTGATCTTAACAAGCATGGCGTACAATTTAAACCACCAAAAGTATGCGCTTTTATATTTACACATCCACATACTGTGTTAATGTTTATTTACACATACACGGTAAAGCAAATCTCCCGGGAAGAAACGCGCGAGAAGGCAGGAAGTGAATTCAGGAATATAGCAAATCAATCAGTCACTGATAAATGTATATGCACATATTAAGGCTGCGTTCACATGTAAAAAATCTATTTTCTTAAAATCTAAAAATCTATTTGCGCTATCTTGTGATCACGGTCTGTTCCCTGAATACCCCGCGGCGTAATTACTGGCAGCGCCGAGAATTAATTACAGCTTTGGAAGTAACTGNACTTAAATCTACAATGTACTTATGTGTCATTATGATGTACTTATATATATCGCACTCATGTGTACGGCGTACTTTTATGTCATTTCGTGCATTGACTGCTGATTTCATATAAGGAAGCGGAAGCGAGACCGCGCAAACAATCTAACAATAAACATACTCGTACAATGAATAACCTCACAATTCTAGAGTGTCAACTTCTTATGAACAGCTATAGTTATATAGTCAAAACAAGGGCAATGCGTATATTTTTAGACCTGCTTTCTCACAAGGCATCCAGCTGTGAACGCTCGAACATGAACATAGGTGAAGAGCGCTTGACATAATACATGTAGTCCTATAAACATTGAAACTCTATACCGTCACCACGCATATTAAAAACCATTGTGAAGATACGAAACAGGAAGTTGTTGCGTTTTGAGTCATTCGATTCGTTTGATTTTAGACAGTCTGCACAGGGGAATAGAGGAAAGACATGGCTTCAGGCATGCTCGATGGTATATTGCAGTATAAATACAAATTCGTCGGTCGTGAGTCTGAGCTTCATAAAGTTCTAAATGAATGGGAATCGCGACGAATAATTGGTGTCTACGGTCCACCTGCCATCGGCAAGACCGAGTTTGCTGAGAGAGTCGTACAAGAAGTCGGTAGGGTCCGACCGCTTGAGGTGGCGAAGGTGAACCTCAAAAGTGTGCGGTCTGTTCGCCATATTATCGAACGATTCAGTCAAGCCACTGCATTTCTTCAACCATTCCCTTCTGAAGACTCTAACGATGAGGCGTCACTGTTTAAATGGAAGTATGACTTAGCCGCGCATATAGGAAATAGACTAAAGGAGTGTCAGAGGTATGTTTTGGAAATAGATAACTGCGATCACGTCGTCGTCGCAGATGAAAAGAACTTTAACGAATCCAAATCTCAGAAGGGCTTAACAGCCGATCAAAAAGGGATTGCGGACGCGGAACCTTCCTTTTTGTGGCACGATAGACCCCTCCAAACAGTATTACTTGACCTAATATCATGCTTGGTCAAATACTGTAAAAACGTGTGGATATTGGTGGTGTCAAGAACCGATTTCCGATTTGCGTCTTTAAGCAAACTCTACATCTGCGTCCAGCTGCCTCGGTTGTCCACTGGAGAAGGAGGGTCACTGCTGCACGAGGTATGCCCATCGGTCAAGTTCAGAAATGACCAACTTGAGGAAATAGTGGAGAGATGTGAAGGGGTGCCTCTGCACATTATAGCCGTAGGTAGGTGTTTAATGCACATTGGGCAAATGAGGGTGAATTATTTGTATAGAAAAGAAATGATTGATTTTCAAGAGTTTATATTCTCTGCCTACTAATAATCTACATAAGTTGTAATAAATCAGCGTTCCATTTAAAGCGAAGGTGCTCTTAATGGCGTAATAAAACAATCGGTTTCTTAAAGAAAGGCCGACAGAAATTGAAAATCTGATCTAGATGTAGAAAACGCGACAGGAAACGATAGGATGGAGCACAAAGGGAACCATATACTAAAACAATTGAAATACCTTTTGATGGCAAAACTGAGCGCATGTTATTCGGCCCCTATCATTAAATATTCAAAAAATAATAATAAGTAAAATAAATAAATAAACAATACTTGATGTGAGACGGGCATGGCTTTTAAATGAAAAAAAATAATCAGTATTCAATATTTATAACAGTAAGATACTAGTAGGCAGAGAATATAAAAGCGGTGATCTTAACAAGCATGGCGTACAATTTAAACCACCAAAAGTATGCGCTTTTATATTTACACATCCACATACTGTGTTAATGTTTATTTACACATACACGGTAAAGCAAATCTCCCGGGAAGAAACGCGCGAGAAGGCAGGAAGTGAATTCAGGAATATAGCAAATCAATCAGTCACTGATAAATGTATATGCACATATTAAGGCTGCGTTCACATGTAAAAAATCTATTTTCTTAAAATCTAAAAATCTATTTGCGCTATCTTGTGATCACGGTCTGTTCCCTGAATACCCCGCGGCGTAATTACTGGCAGCGCCGAGAATTAATTACAGCTTTGGAAGTAACTGGCTCCCGCTGCCCGTAATTACGCTTGGGGTATCCAGGGCACAGACCGTGATCACAAAATACTGCAAATAGATTTTTAGATTTTTAGAAAATAGATTTTTCATGTGAACGCAGCCTAAGTATCGACCCGCTCTCTGCACCTGCGCATTACACCAATATGGTAGATCAATCGTCTGCAATAATGTGATGTTTCATGTTGAAAACTTCTTCTTTGTAGTGAATGTATAGTGTGAATGTTATTTCTTCGGTTAAAATAAGGTCTAGTCCTAAGTTTCTTTTCAACACAACCGATCTGAATCAAGGTGCATTACTCAGCGTGGGTTGTGTAGGAGGGACGAAATAACTACTGTTTACTGAAGTAAACGCATCCTACAGAGAATCGCTTATCCTAAAAAAATTCTTAATAACAAAAGCTTAGAGAGGAAATATTTCAGTTATGTCTTACATCAGAGTCAGTAAAAATTGGACACTTCCCGAAATGACTGTCAACTTTGAAACAGAAATTAGTCACTGATGAAGGATAATGTACATTTCGAGTACCGGCCTGTTCTCTACACCTACTTGTGTTGGGTGTTTTCTTAAGAAATATTCGTTCTTTTTAAATCATCACGGATTCTCATTGGCTCTGTCGACGACTGATCATATTAAACTATTTGGAGTATGTCTTAACTAGGAACAGGTATGAAAAATGATTAAATGAACTGTGCGTTTTTGTTTCTGTTTTATTTATTTATTTATTTATTTATTTATTTATTTATTTATTTATTTATTTTTAGGAGACGAATTAAATCAAAGCGGGGATCTATATTCACCAGGGGAATTGCTAGAAGCTCTCAGGGAAAAGAGACTAAAATGTCTTGGAGGAGAAGGCCTCGCAGACGACGAGAGAGCGGGTGAGACGAAAACAATTTATCCCTTAAAACGAAAACTACTGGTATACTAAAACGTCGTTAAACTGGTGCTATAGGGTGTACACATAAAAAGCACTGTCCAGTCTTAGGTTAAGAAAACCCTCTCATGGGCCGGTCGATCCCCTTTCAAATGGCGCCACACCACCCCGGCCACCCCTACCCACTGCGATGCGTCACTAGGAGAGTTACTACGTCATTTTTGGAGTACGACACATCACCGGTGCCCCCGTAACCCACCCAAACCCCGCAACCCCTCTCACAGGGTTCTCAGTAAGAAACATGGAAGATGCAAATGAAATATTGAAGTGTAGAAATGCGTGATATTTTACCTGATATTTCACGTTGCCATGAATAAAAAGGGGCACATACGCATGATTATGAATAAATAGCAAAAAAAAAAGTACTGCAGAGAATTATGACATACTTTGGCTTTGACTTTTTTATTTCCTATCGTTTCTTATCGGAAAGTGTGGAAACCAAGTTTGTCTTGATTACAAAATACAAAAAAATAAAATAAAATAAATGCACCAGAAGTAATATATATTTCAATTTTCATGTCTAGAAAAAGTAGAAGCGAGGGACTTCGCTCGGTTACCGCAAGAGCTGCAGAATCATCTCTATTCGCTAGCCAGCTTACAGAATGGGTTTACTAAAAATGATGTGGCAGCCAAGACCGGTATTATGATAAGCTTCCATAATTATTATAATTTTTCTGTTGCATTATATATTACGCTATAGACATCCACAAATGAAAATAAATTTTCTTGATTTCAATCTTGAGAAAAAACCAAAACCAATCTTGAAATACATTGTGAATTAGAGCAAACATCTTAGAGCAAACATCTTTTTTTTTTTTTTTTTTTTTGTTGGTGGGGGGG